CTGTGTCAGGCTCCCACACCTCCCCTCCGCCAAGAAAGGAGCCTGCCAGCAGCATCTGGCCGTCCCTCCAGCCTGCTCTCTGTTGTTTGAGCACTTTCCCTGGGCAGATGGGAACCCCAAGAGTAACTTTTTTAAAAATGGTCCTGCTTCAGAAAAGGATTTGACCTCTTGGATATATATCTACATACAATCTTCCTCAAAGTCTTTTCTTGACAAAGTTGTGAGGTCTTTGTAAAATCCACTTGTGAATTACCAGAGCCTTCCACTCAGCAGCACGCTGTTGTCTTCGGCCAGACCTGGGGACCTCTGCTTTTGGCTTCTGGGGCCCCACCACCTCAGTGCCCCACTCCAAGCATTGAGGCAGGGCCTCAGGCCACTTCTGCACTGCCCTAAAGGGGTGGGGCCTCAGGCCCTTCTGCACTGCTTACCTGTTCACATGGTTTCCCCCTTCCTGTCTCAAGCCTCAGAATGTTCCAACCGAAAATGGCTGAGAAAGGAAGGGCTGAGGCCTTGCCTGCCAATGGCTGAGATTTCCTTTCCCCATTTCTCAGTCCTAAGCATCCACTACTCCAGGAACAAGAGGGTTTTTGAGATCCTTACACCAGCCCCACAGGACACTGGCCACAATAATTGCTCAGCAAAGCCCCAGGGAGGCAGGGGTGGATAGGGAGGGGTGAAGGATCATAAGAGAGCCAACATTTACAGACATGACCTCACTTTTAAAGGCTGCAAACCACCTGTGAAGTAGGTCACGGGCTCACTCCCACTAACTGAGTCAGGAAGGTTCTCTCCTTTCCCCCAATGGAATTCAAGGGACTCTCACTCCAGACCTGTCTGACCCAACACCTGGGAAGGGGTGGGCTTCTTATGAGGCCCTCTGCTGGTGGTCCCAGATGGGAGAGCAGGAAGAGGGCTGAGGGAAGGGGCCAGCTCCGTCTGAGAGCTCATTGGTATCTCTGCTCACAGGGCCTTCTAGAAATCCCTGTCCTCCTTCTTCCCTCCCAGCCCCTCTTGGTTCCTCGTCCTTGTACCCCTCCAGGGAGTTGGCCAGACTCCTGGGAGCTGAGGAAGGGATGAAAGGATTGTCCCCAAAGCCTCTCCCCCGTCTTCTGTACCCACCTTCATTACACCCCACCTTTCTCACCTGTGTCCGCTCCCCTCTCCCAGAGAGGAAGGGAAGCCCTGCCAAAGCCCAGTTCCTTCATCTCTCACCCTCATTCTTGGCCTTGGCCTTCAGGGTGGAGAGGACAGGATGCATTTTAAATTGTCTCTACAGGAGCAGTCAGGAACGCCAAATAAATCTTTGCATACATTGGAAACCCCCATTTTCCAAAGCTAACCTATGCCCCGGTCGTGTAATTTTTGATTGCACTGGCATGGCCTCTGAATGTCCCTGCCAAGGAATGTGGGCCAGGCACCCATTAAGAGGAAACAGAAGAAAGGTGGGATTAAGTTGGGAGTCAGCCCTGGCAAAGTCCATCTCTATTTTCAGAGGACAGTTTTCTAAAAGGAGGAAAATGGAATGGAAGTGTAGGAAGAAAATGTGGACACAGAGGTCTCTAGCAAAACCAGTCCCAGGAGAGCAGAGGCTGGGTGAGAGGGGCGAACATGGCTGAGAGGGTCTGGCAAGCTTCCCTCCCTATATCTGCCGTGGCTGCTTCTCTGAGACCCAAGGGCAGGGAGAGCACTGATGGTAGCAGGAGCAACAGTGCAGCCCATGTCCCCTCCTCTGGAACCTACTCCCACCCCTCTTGGAGGAAAATCAGGCCCTCTCCAGATGCATACCCAAGTCAGAGTGCAGGATCCACAGAAGGACCCCAATCCAGGCTTCCAGTCCCATCCCTGCCTCTCTTACTCTTCCTCCCTGCTACGGTGATCCAGGCAGTGCTTTTGGGCCTCCAGATCCTTATGGTCAATGTTGGCTCATTGCAGTCTAGGGTCAAAGGCTGCCAGATGCATAGAGAGAAGAGTGGCCTGGCCACAACCCTCAGAGGCCACTAAGGTGGGAAAAGATGAACACCATAAAGATGGGATAAAAGCTCAGGTCTGTCCATTTTGGGAGTGCATGTTCCAAACCGCCTCCTATACCTGTTAGCCTTGTTGTTACCAGGAAATGCAGAGTCCTCAATTCTTGGTTTAACTTGGAAGAATTCAGCCAAGAGACCAAGTAGTAATGTAAGCAAAAGGTTTATGAAGCAAAATAAAGAGCAGCGATTTTATTTATTTATTTATTTATTTATTTATTTATTTATTTATTTTGTGACAGAGTCTCACTCTGTCTCCCAGGCTGGACTGCAGTGGTGTGATCTCGGCTCACTGCAACCTCTGCCTCCCGGGTTCAAGCAATTCTCCTGCCTCAGCTTCCCAAGAGAGAGCTGGGACTACAGGCACGTGCCACAACGCCCAGCTAATTTATTGTATTTTTAGTAGAGACGGGATTTCACTGTGTTAGCCAGGATGGTCTCCATCTCCTGACCTCGTGATCCGCCTGCCTCGGCCTCCCAAAGTTCTGGGATTACAGGCGTGAGCCACTGCGCCTGGCCTGGGAGTTTATTGAAGTAGACTCCAAGAGAGGAACCAGCGGGTCTGCTTGGAAAGCAGCAGTATTCAGAGCAAGAGTGAGGTAGCAGCAAAGACAGTACACTCTGAAAGATGAGGCAGAGCAGGCTGCTCAAAAGATGACCCAGCAACTCGAGAGTTCTGCCTTGCGGTTTTTAAGTTCCTCCACACTCTCTTTAAGTTCCTGCCTCTGTCTCAAGTCTCTCCCTTTGTCTAATTCCCTACCTCTGTCTTATGTCTCCATCTTTTCGCCCCACCTACTTCCTGCCCCAGGTTTGTGGGACTCCCCCTTACTGTCTGCTGATGAACCTGCAGGGGCAGGTGTCGGATATGAATCCTACTGAATGGTGACGTTGCTAATTACTGCCACTCCAGGAAGGGTGTATATTGGTATTTATTGCACCTGCATATCTCGTAGGAATTTCTCCTTTGCCTTCTTTCCCTCCTTAGCGTGCAGCTGGCTATATTCCCACAGGTTAACTGCAGAGTGAGTGATGACTGGGCGTCTTAAGGGGTGTCTTGGGGCATTCCTTCCTGCACAGATATTTCTCCTCCTCTCTGCTCATATCTAGCGTGAATGTTTTGGGTGGTCTCTGGGGTGTGAGACTTTCCAGACCTCCCTTTCTCAGGGGCTCCCCCTCCTACTCATATCTATCTGCCTACTCTGACAGTATAACCTTGGGCAAGTCATTGACCTCTCTGAGCATTGGTTTTCTCATTATAGACTGAAAGCGTTAGACTAGGTCAGTGGTTTCCAAACTTTCCCAGCCACATACCCCTTTCTTTAAATGAAATCTCACTGGAACCCTAACATGTAACCTGTTTACTGAACGGTCCTAATTTGATGAGATACAAACATGACCAGTTTTATCTTTCTTGCAACCACTGCCTTCCAGCGTCTCCATTGAGTCCCCCTTCCCATTCCTAAGGCCACCTCAGGCAGACCCTGGTCACTTTCAGTGGATAAAAAGTCTACCCAGTTGTTTCAGTTTAAAGCTTCAATCTGATGTCCAACATGGGGCCCACATGCTCCCATCCTCCATCCCCTGTTTCGGGTTTGCCCCACGGTCTAAAGAACCCAGACCAGGGAGAACATGGTCTGCTCTCTCCTGGCTCCTTCCCTCTCCTCCCCTGCACTCTTCTGGACCTCTGTCTTCAGTTGTTGGGGCGGGGAGGAGGGAGCAGAAAAAGGACTTCCTTTTCTTACCTCCTGGCTAAAGATGTCCTTGGTGCTTCAGGCATCCAGCTGCTTGGGGGCCTTCCTACCTCTTGCTGAAAGGTATTTAGCAGTCAGGTCTTTGGGACTGGGTCCTGGCCAGATGGCTCCAGCAAGGCTGCCTTCCTTGGTGCTCACTTGGCACAGAGGAGATCTACCCATTCTTGTCCCACCTGGCAATGAGAAGCCGCTCCCTGCTGCCCTAACAGGCAAAAGGGCAGATCAGCAAGGTCTAGCATAAAGAGACACCCAGCCAGGGAATGGCAGGTCAGCTTCCCTTCTCGTGGGCACCTGTATGTCATACAGTGTGTGGCACCATTGGAGGCCCCGCCCTTGACTTGGGCAGGGGCCAGGGATCCCCAAGTCTCCACAGGGAGGTGCAGGGAGGTAAAGACCACAGAAGTTCCCCAAGGCAGTGCCTCCTTACGAGGGGAATTCTCAGCTGCTGCGCATTAGGTCCCGTGAAATGCTCAGTAAGAAATACCAATGTGCCGACCCCCCAGGCCAGTTAACTCAGCATCTTGAGATGGAGCCTGAGAGTGTTTCTTTTAAAAGCACCTGAGGTGATTGCGGAAGGCAGCCAGGGTTAGGAACCACTGCCCTGTCCAAAAAGTTCTCACCCAATGATGGAGAGAGGACCTGTTAGACCTGTTGGCCAGGGAGGGTCTGGGTTCTCCCTTTGTAAGGTAGTGGGGGCAGACTTAGGACCTGGTACCCTTAGTTTTAGGGCTTTAGGCACAATTTGAAGGTACCAGAAGAGTTCCCATTCAACATTCTACTATAAGTGGTTGTCGAACTTGTCTTAGCAGCAGAATTTTCCTCATATGAGTGTCTGGCTGCAGCAAGGGGAGGGGCCAGAGCTTTGCCAGCAGCATTGGAACCTGCCCTCCCTCACACACTTTTAATGAAATAATCACTCAGGCCTCTTTGGCTCACTCTGAGAACCTTCCGTTGCTATGTTACATTGGAGAGAGGGGGCCACCGTGCAGCTCTCTGAAGGAAGAATGGGGTGGAAATGGAGCCCGAAGCACAGGCAGAGTAGAGAAGCAAGTGGGCACCCATAGCAGGTTGTGGGAGAACCAGGGTGAGCCAGGAGGTGGGAGTAGAAAGGAAGTAGGCTTGGGGGTGCGGGGAGGGTGGCTGCTGACCTCCCAGTTTTGCTGAGAACAGCCATCTCTAGGCCAGAGCCCCCAGAAAGGTGTGCTCCTCCCTATTCCCTGAGCAGGGGGAAGAACAGGGAACGTGGCCTCAGAACCTGCAGCAGCCACCACCGCCGGGGCAGCACGAGGATGGGCAGAAATCTGCTGGGGACGAGAGACCCGCCACGGAGCCCCTCTTTAAGGTCCTAGATACGCCTCTGAGCGAGGGTGATGAGCCTGCAACGCTGCTAGCCCCGCGGGACCATGGGCACAGCGTGCAGATGGAAGGCTACCTGGGCCGCAAGCACGACCTGGAGGGGCCCAACAAGAAGGCTTCCAACAGGTGAGTGCGGGAGAGGCTGCTGGCTGAGGGGAGGTTGGACAGCTCCCAGGGATCTCTCTGCCAGCAGAGCCTCTGCCTCGGCCTGTGAGAGCTCCTGGGCACCCCCTCTGGGCCAGCCCCAAGGGCTACTTGGCATGATGGGAAAGCCCATCTCCAGTTCTGGTCCTGAGTTCAAATCTTAGGTCTTCATGCAAGTTACTCAACCTCTTTAAATTGGTTTCCCCATTTGGAAGGAGAGGATGATGAGAACAGTATGTCTTTTCACTACAGATGCTGTTCCTGGCACACAGTAGGTGAACACACTTGGTGAACACTAGCTATTATTATCCTATTATCCCAGGGCTAGGGATAGGTAGCTCTAAAGGTGTGGTAGGTCTTGGCACTAACGACATCCTTGTTCGAGCCCCACTTTTTACCATTCTAGGCCTCGGTGTCCTCAGCTGTAAAATGGGAGCGATGGGGGTAGGGCATGGCCTATTGCTTCCCAGAGGTCCCTTCTAGTGCTGTCATTTGGTGACTCTATGACCCCAAGGAACTGACTCAAAGGTTGTGTCCTTTCCTGACCCTGAAACAGTCATGCCCTTGGGTTTGGTCTATCTAGGGCTGTCTCTGTCTGGGGCCCCTGGGGGCCTCCTCTTTCTAACAGCCATCTAGGATCCCAGGAAAATAGGGCAGCACCAGGAGGTTGAAGCCAGCCGTATTCCCAGGGACAGCTGGCAGCTTGAGCATGCAGGGTGTGTCTGGGGGACTCACGAAAGGGATTCCAAATTCCAAAAAGGAACCATTTGGGGGCCCAGTTGCCCTGAAAAGGTTTATTTATTGCTTAAATGGACAGTCTACCCGGAAAGGGGAAACTAACATTTACTGAGCACCTACTATGTGCTAGGCATTATGTTAGGACTGATAACATCTTCGCAACAATCCTGTGACATTGATGTTTCTCTTTTCCGTGGGGAAAACAGAGTCTCAGAAAGGTTAAGTCATTTGTTCAAGGCAAGCTCTTTCTCCAAAGACCCAGTTCCTTCTTAGTAACTGCCTTTCTGCTAGAGGAAAGATCCCTGAGCGCGGAGTGAGAAATGGGGCTTCGTAAAATGGCTTTTCAGCCAGCTTTGCATGGTCAGTTTCTCTCTCTGACCTTGTAGAACTTCCTCCCTATGTGCTCTACTAGTTTCCCCACCTTCCTGCCCTCAAAAGTAAGGGGGGAGAAGAGGGAGAGAAGAAGAGGGGGACAGAGGAGGATGAAGAGGAGGAGGAAACAGAGTCTGTTACTGTAGAAATGTAGCAACATGCTTCCCATGTGTGAATGAAGAGGCTCGGGCCAGCCCACCTCTTCAGTTATGAATTTGATGCTCTCACCAAACATGCCAGTTGACATGAGCCCTATTTGGTTTTTTTGTTTGTTCGTTTTTTGTTTTTTTTAGACAGAGTCTCACTCTGTCACCCCGGCTCGAGTGAAGTGGCTCAATATTGGCTCACTGTATCCCCCGCCTCCCGGGTTCAAGTGATTCTTCTGCCACAGCCTCCTGAGTAGCGGGGATTACAGGCATGTGCCACCACACCTGGCTAATTTGTATTTTTGTTTTGTTTTGTTTTGGGTTTTTTTTTTTTTTTTTTGGTATTTTTAGTAGAGACAGGCTTTTACCATGTTGGTCAGGCTGGTCTCGAACTCATGACCTCGTGATCCGCCCACCTCAGCCTTCCAAAGTGCTGGGATTATAGGCGTGAGCCACCACGCCTGGCTGACATGAGCCCTATTTGTAAAATTTGCTCCTTTAAAAAGTTTAGTATGCTTGGCACATCTCATCAAAACAAAAAACAATCACCGACACAAAAACCTGTTCATTCCTTCACAGTTCTGTAGTGAGAATCAAATACGCTAATGGATGTAGAAATACTTCAAAAGTTAATTTTTTACTGTTGGTCTTAAAACGTAATAGTTCCACTTCTGTAAGTGTACTTCAAGGTAAGATCAGAATTACAGGCACAGATTTATGTGTAAGAATGTTCATCACATTGCTATTTAAATTATGGGCAAATTTTCCAGTATTATAAGGTTCATCAATAAAGGGATTGTGATAGGCTTCCACATAGCTATTCAAAATTATTTTAAGAAATATTTGAGGATATAGGCCAGGTGTGGTGGCTCAGGACTGTAATCCCAGCACGTTGGGAGGCCAAGGCAGGTGGATCACCTGAGGTCAGGAGTTCAAAACCAGCCTGGCCAATGTGGTGAAACCCCATCTCTACTAAAAATACAAAAATTAGCCATGGCTTGTGCCTGCAGTCCCAGCTACTCGGGAGGCTGAGGCAAGAAAATCGCTTGAACCTGGGAGATATAGGTTGCAGTGAGCTGAGATCAGGCTACTGTATTCCAGCCTGATAGACAGAGGCTCAGCCTAAAAATATTATATAATATATAAATATTATATATGTTATATATTATATACTTATATATTATATATAACATTTATTATATTACATTTATAATATATACATCTTACATATATAACATGTATATATACATGTTATACATGTGTATGTGCACACATGTATGTATATACACACATATATACATGTATATATGCATACACATATGCATATATACACACATATATAACATATATATTTAATATATATTTATATATTATATATAAATTTTTTTATATATATATATTTTTGACACAGAATCTCATCTCTGTCACCCAGGCTGAAGTGCAGTGTCGGGATCTCAGCTCACTGCAACCTCCACCTCCTGGGTTCAAGCGATTCTCCTGTCTCAGTCTCCTTAGTAGCTGGGACTGCAGGCATGCACCAGCAAGCCCGACTAATTTTTGTATTTTCAGTAGAGACGGGGTTTTACAATGTTTGCCAGGCTGGTCTGGAACTCCTGACCTCAGGCAATCCGCCCGCCTTGGCCTCCCAAAGTGCTGGGATTACAAGTGTGAGCCATCGTGCCCGGCAAAAAAAGAAACATTTGAGGATATGGAGAAATACTCATGATTTAGTGTTATGCTTAGAAACAGGATATAAAATTGAATATATACATAACCAAGTTTTAGCTATCTCTGAATAGTAAAAAAAAAAAAAAAGTGAAAATGTGAAGACTAGAAGGAACACATAAAATGTTAATAATAGCTAATTTTTTTGTAATGAAATTACATGCAGATGATTTTTTAACAATAAAACATGTTACTATGTATCAAAACAAACATGCCGTAATTTTGTTTTAATGGTGAAGCTATAGGAATTGACACCAGAGATGCCGTATCAGGATGCAGGTGACCTGCCTGTCTGCATCTTTGCAGGTCCTGGAACAACTTGTACTGTGTGCTCAGGAACAGTGAGTTAACCTTCTACAAGGATGCCAAGAACCTGGCCCTGGGGATGCCCTACCATGGGGAGGAACCCCTGGCCCTGAGACATGCCATCTGTGAGATTGCTGCCAACTACAAAAAGAAGAAGCATGTCTTTAAACTGAGGTGAGGCCTTCCTGGCCTTTGAAAGTTCAGGTTGATGGCTTGATTGGGCATTAGTGGCAGGGCAGAGGCCCTCTGTATGGGACCAGCTCCATGCCTGAGCTACTCCTCAGGGGTTTTTCAAATCAAAGAGGCTGATGGTCCAGACTTTGACCTCTCAGAAAGTGCTGGGCTGCCTGAGAGGGTTCTGGATGTTCGGCTCAGGGTACTGTGGCAGAGGCTGGGCCAGCCCTCTGCCCAGCGCCCGCTCCAAAGGTGTCTCCATGACAGGAAACCCTTTGTCCTCCTAGGCTGAGTAATGGCAGCGAGTGGCTCTTCCATGGCAAGGACGAGGTAAGCGCGGGCAGTCTAGCCCAGACCTGGCTAACAAAGGGGTAGGTGGAGGACCCCAGGTCGCTTGCCCTGGAGGCCCCCTCAGAAGGGGCAGTCCCAAAAGCCCCCCATTGTTGCCTGGCCCGGGAGGTGGGGGGCTGTGGGCCTCCAGACTCCACCGTGACCCTCTGCCCCGCAGGAGGAGATGCTGTCCTGGCTGCAGGGTGTGAGCACCGCCATCAACGAGTCCCAGAGCATCCGCGTCAAGGCGCAGAGCCTGCCCCTGCCCTCCCTCTCCGGCCCCGACCCCAGCCTTGGCAAGAAGGACAAGGAGAAGAGATTCAGCTTCTTCCCCAAAAAGAAGTAGCGGCCGAAGGCCCCCGCAGGTGGGGCTGGCGGGCGCGGCGGAGTCGCAGAGACCGGGCGCCCCGGGCCTTGGCCTCCTCTCGCCGCCGCCCGCCTGTCGAATCGAGTCGAGTCGCGGGCCGGGCCCCCGGGCCCCACGCTGCACTGCAAAAGCTGCCTTCGCCCGCGCGTCCTGGGCCGACGCCCCTTCCATGCCCTCCCCCGCGCCGGCTCTGCTCCAGGGACAGGGGCTCCCAGCTCCTCTGGCGCCTTCGGGGCCTCCAGGCCTGGGGGCAGGAAACGGTTCCCTGAGGCACACGCCCTCCTCTCCCACCCTCCTCCTGAGCCGAGGGTGCGCAGGCCCCTTACCCCCAACCAAAAAAAAAAAAAAAATAGAAAAAAAAAAGAGCTGGAGAAGGCTGATGGGGTTCCTCAAACGCTGCCCATTCTTAAAGCAAGTCTTGCTTGGGGTCACCTCCCACCTGGTGGCAGCCAGGGAAAGGGGAAAGGAAGAGGGCACTGGAAATGCATGGCCAGCCACCTAGGGGCATGAGGAAGGAGCCATCAGGTGGCCCACAAAGCCCTAGCTCTGGGTCAGGGGCTGTGGGGGGCTGAGGGGACCAGACTGGGTGCAGGGCCTTGGGTGCTGCCAGCCTCCTCCCCACTGGGCTTCCGCAGAACTGGGACTCTCACCTCAGGGGCCACCACATCCCTTCTCTCTGCTTCTCCCCCCAGATCAAAGGGCACCCTCCACGGCTGGCAGGGCCTGGCTGAGTGCCTCCAGCACCCTTGTGCCACCACAGACAGTCCCAGGAGGGGCAGCAAGGTCAGACCATTCCTCATTGAAAACTGTGGCTAGGGCACAGGGCTGTGATCTGAAGGAGTAGGTCACAACACTGCCTAAGGCTGTCCCTCTCAATGCTAGGACCCTCCCCCCATTCCCAGTGGCAGCCAAACCAGCAATATCCGACAGACGTAGGCCCCCTAGGGGACAGTGTGGGCCCCCAGATACAAGATGGATACCCCTGCACCTGCAGTGAAGCATCCCAAAGCCAAATGTCCAATTGCATCCTGTCTGCAGCTGGGACTTCGGAAGGTACGGCTGGGCAGACAGCCAAGTTGATCACCTATCGTCTCGGGGTGGCAGATGCAGCCATGCCTTGGCATCACCACCCGTGACAGCTACCCCTGCACAGTTGGGACAGATGTCGGGGCCACAGCCATGAAGGTGTGGTACCCCTTGATCAGCTTCTCCAGAAGGTCCTGGCCCCAGGTCTTGGGCGGCGGGGGGAGTGTCACATGAGTACAGAGGTCAAATATCTACCACCTTCCAGCCCTGAGTGCCAGAAGTTCTGCAACCTACGTCTTCAGGAATGGCCTTCCTCTTGCTGCCCAGGTCATACTTCTGGAGGGAGAGAAGTCACTCCACAAGGATTTTCCCACCACTCTACTCTGAAAGCAACGCAGTTCTGGCCCAGTATCTAACGGGTTAGGTCCAAGAGAGGAGTCAAGCAGGTGGGGTGGGGGTGGCAGCAGGCATTCTCCCCCAGGGAAACCATAGAAGTCCCCAGGGCCTGCAGGCAGTTTCTATCACTTTCCCTGTGTGAAGGACCTTAGTTCCATGGAGATGAAGGAGGTGAGGTTCAGGTAGAAGCCACAGGGGCAGGCATCCAGAAGGAGGCCCCCTGAGGAACCCTGAGTGCTGACCAGTGCCGGCAGAAATCAGTTCCACCCTGTGGCCCTGACACTGTCAGGGAGCCACCAACTGCAGCAGGCAGGAGCCACAGGAAGGAAGACATCATCCAATAGAGCCTGATATCCCCAGGTTCCCGCCCTGGTGGGCAAGGTCTTCATTTGGCTTCGGTGCATATGACCCTATACAGGGAACCTAGTGTGTACCACTCACCAGCCTCTTTCTGTATCTGGGGAAACCAAGGCAGTGAGATGACTGCACTCACCTAGCAATAAAGTAGGCCTTTGGTGCACTTGCGGGCATGTCCTCTGGGGCAGAAAGCAGGTTCCTTGCTGAAGGGCAGATGGTGGCAAGCATCTCCCTCAACTGTTTCCCTCGGCCAGTCTTTAGGGAGCCAAGGGACAAGGGCCCACCCTCCCCCTTCCACGTGTGCCAAATCAGCACCTGAAGTGAGTCATTTCCAGCAAGCAACTCCACAGACCCAAGAAAAGAACGACTCCAGTGGAAGAGCTAGCATCTCACCACCCCAGGTCCCCCGGGCTGGTCCAGGGCAGCCAGCTGCATGTGACCACTCTGTTGCCAGCTCCCCACACATCCCTCCTGTCACCCAGGCCCCAAGACATTCGACCAACTGGACTGAAACCGCAGGCATCCAGCTCTGGGAGGCCCTGTGCTACACAGGGCTAAGCTTACCCTGGCAAGGTCTTTTTTTTTCTATCCTTATTCTACTTTACAGTCTTTTCTTTGACAGTATTCCTAAACTAGGTTGACACAGCTCCAGTCCACACCAGCATACCAGGCTTCCTCCCCAGGGCAGTTTAGAGGAAGCTCCTTCCGGGCGCGGTCAGGCGGTCCTCCTTCCCTCTCTCCTTCCCCTTTGTCCCGGCCTCAACTGACTGGCTATGGGAGGTGTGGAGGGTCCTTGGGCTTTCCTCCCCAACCTGGCCTCCACTAGCACCCCTAACAGGAGGCCCGTGGAAGGCGCAGCCTCTCCTCCACATCCCTCCTTCCTGCGTATCGGAGGCAACCAGGGTCCCCTAGGCTGACCCTGAATCCTCTTCCTTCCTTCATGGGAGGGGGGCAGGAATCCAGAGGACGACGAAGCCAGTGGGACCACATGGCTTGGTGGCTTGGACAAACAAGCTCAGGGAGGAAATGAGGCGGCGGAGGCTGCAGAGGAATGCAACCCTGTTGGGCACAGACCATGCAATCTGGGGCTGGCCCTGGGGCCAGCTGGGTCCTGTCCTCCACCTGCTCAACCGTGCTTCCACCAACCAGAGGAAACCCATTTACTAGTTTTTCTAATAAATCAATAATGCTCCATATTTCTCTCAGTTTCTTATTTGACTAGCCTCCTCTCCCTTTGAACTGGGTCTAAGGGGGCTGGCACCATGGAGACAGAGGGACAGCCAGACTCTCCAGCTTGTCCCTGGGAGCCTTATGGGGACGACTGCAAGCACCCAGGTCCCGGGCTTCACCACAAACTTCGAGAAAAGCTTGCTCATTCATGCATTTGATCAACTTGAAGGCCTGCTGTAGGGCAAAATCATTTCCGAGCAATGATCAGTCCAGGCCCCTCCCCACAGAACTCAGGACAGATCTCAGCACTCCTGGACCACAGAATCATCAGAATCTCTAAGCCTGGGATTCACCTCCAGAGGGCAGTTTCTGTTGGTCTAGGGAGATGGAATGTAAGCACTGTTTCCAAAAGGCCCCCCAGATGATTCCAATGGGCAGCCAGTGAGAACCACCGACCTGGTGCAAGGTTCCCAGGCATACCTAGATGGCTGTGTAAGGACTGCCTGGAGAAGGGGTTAACTACAACTTCCTGGGCCCCACCCTCTGAAGAGCCCCAGTTGGGTTCTTTAAGGGAAGATCAGAGGCTAGTGACAACCTCTCTTGAGTAGAAACAGCGAAGGGCAGAGGTAGCCCCTGGTCTGGCAGCTGCCCTGAATCTTCTGTGGTCATTCCACAGTCACTGGCTCCTGCCAGGCCAGTCTCAAGATATGATGCTGAGTAACCACAAGGGCACTGGACAATGTGAGGGTCACGAAGGTGGAGGCTGCAGTGAGCCGAAATTGCATCACTGCACTCCAGCCTGGGTGACAGAGCAAGACTCCATTTCAAGCGGAGGAAAAAAAAGAATCTAGGTCCCTCTGATCTTCCCTTGACCTTGTTAGACTCAGCAGACCCATCTTCAGGTTGGGTCAGAAGGCCCACAGGGCCCTGGCCCAGCAGCCCCGCTGAACACTTGTCAGGCAGCTCTACCATCCAGGCCCTGCAGTCTCCACCTCCCAGGCCCCAGTTAGAAAAAAAAATTGAGCAAACTGAGGCCAGAACTCTGGAGAAAGGGCAGAAAACCCAGCTGAAACAGGGAGGCATTCCTAACTCTTCTGAATCAAAGACACTTCTGAGAATGTGATAAAAAGGGAGGAATCATCCCAGAAAAATGCACTAGTACTCCTCATCCAATGTTGCAGACACCTTTAGGACATTTCTAGTCTCCAAGTTTAGAATCCTTGCCTTCAGCCAGATACAGGGGCTCACCCCTGCAATCCCAGCACTTCGGGAGGCCGAGGTGGGCGGATCACCTGAGGTCTGAAGTTTGAGACCAGCCTAGTCAACATGGCAAAACCCCGTCTCTACTAAAAATACAAAAAATTAGCTGGGTGTGGTGGCTCGTGCCTATAGTCCCAGCGACTTGAGAGGCTGACACACAAGAATCGCTTGAACCTGGGAGGCGGAGGTTGCAGTGAGCCAAGATCACGCCACTGCACTCCAGCCTGGGTGACAGAATGAGACCCCATCTCTTTAAAAAAAAAAAAAAAAAAAAAAGAATCCTTGCCTTCCAGGACGTTTCCTGGGAACTGGAGAGAAGTGCAAAAGGCACCAGATACTGGGAACTTCTGCTTATGAGAAAAACGGTCTACCTCACCACCTCCCTTTTTTTAGTCCAACTCTGGCCCTTGGGGAAAAGAGCAAAAGGCTGGCATGCGGGACTCCCTACCCTAGACAGGACAGCAGGCTGCTGCTTGACAGAGAAGCCCTTGGGAGTCTAGGCAACAGAGAGCAAGCTTCCAACCTCACATCCTCCTGCCCCACCTCCCCCACCAGTACCCAAGTGCCTTATGTTTCATGAGCTCAGGTGACCAATGAGTGTGGAAGGAACCACCTCCATGTCTCCATCTCCCTAAGACATCCCTGGCCCATGAATAACCTTCCCTACCCCAGCCAGGCCCAGGAAGGAGTTCACACATAGTGGGTTGGTCAGCAGTGGTTATTGCACCATTGGCAAATAATGAAATGTGTGTACATCAGCGACAACCACAGGGTCAGCACAACAACCCTCAAAAGTACCTGAACTGCATCCACTTCATTCTTGACAGGAGGGGAATAAACAGAGGCCACACACTCACGCACGCGCACATCATACCACGGAATGGAAAGCAATAAATTATCAGCTTCATTCCTGCCTGGACCCTAAGAAAAGCCACAGTAACAGAGTAAAGCCTCTCCAGGCCACTGCCTGAGTCTCGCTGCGGGTGGGCTCCTCGGTCTGGCTGTGGCCATGGCCAGTCAACGCTGGAGGCCTGAGCAGAGCTTGCTCTCTGGGAAGAGGTGAGCTTCGATATTTGGCTTCTTACCAGAAAAGAACTATTTACAAGGGAAGCGGCCAGACCAGCCTCACAGGTGAGTGGGAAGTTGTCTCAAGCCCCAGTGGATGGCACAGGCAGGAGACCCCTGCACACGGGAGCATCCTTCCTGAAGGGCAGAGGGGACGGACTTTCCGCCTGCCGGAGGGCCCTGGGCAGGGGCTCCATGAGCCCAGGCTTGAGGGGAAGGATGCCCAGATTCTTCCCCAACCTCCAACATGACTCCTCCCTCCCCCAGGAGTCAGCATCAACCAACAGAGTTCAAGGCCTGGAACTTCTCTCTGAGGTTTCTCACTCTACCCTGCTGGCTCGGGTCTGCCGGGTCCCTGGGACCCTCTTCCTTCAGCCGACACTCTGCAGACTGCTGGAAGTCCTGGCCCTGCCCCAGCAGGGCCCCCAGTGAGCTTGGTCCCTGACCACTGCTCTCCTCTAGCCCCGCCGTGGGGCCGGGAAGGGGTCCCTTCTCCATGACAATCACCCGCCGGTTGTCCTCAAGGGTGAGGTGTGCAGTGACATACAGGGTCTCGCCTCCATCCTGCTTGCTCTGGGGCAGAGGCCCAGGGGATCGGGCAGCCTCTCCGCCTCCCCGGCCCCTCTTGGTGCTCAGGCTGCGGCAGCGGCCCACCCTGGCCGACAGAGGCGGCTCCACCATGTTCTCCGGCACCGAGTGGCTCCTGTTGACGGGTGGGCCGCGGGGCCCGCCACCCCCTGCTCGGCGTGCCTCATCGCGGGAGGCGTACTTGGAGCAGAGCTCTCGGACGTCAGGCCAGCTGAAGGTCTCCGTGGGGCTGCGGGGGCTCCGGGCAGAAAGCCGGCCCCCAGGCGAGGTGGTCCTGGGGCTGACAGCAGACGGGTTGAAGGAGACACGCTGTGGCGATGTCTCCCTAGCCGAGGAGGGCTTGGGAGGGCTGTGCTCCTGGGCCATCAGCTGCTCGTAGTCGAAGAGAGACAGCACTGGCTTCCTCTTACCTGTGAGGAGAGAGCAAGGTGCCTGAAGCACGGGGCGGGAGGGCAGAGCTGCAAGGGGGTCTCTGAGCAGGATCCAACTCACCTTCCAGGAAAGGCTGGTTGTTGGGGTTTTGGGTGTGATGGGAAAAATCTCATTTACCATCCACAGCCCCTTTCATGAAGGGCCATGGGAAGAATGAAGACAAGGCAGTGGAAAGGGGTCAGATGTCAAAGGAAGAGGGGAGAGCTTCTGCTCCCATCCTGCTAAAGGAGGGGCCTGGGGCCATGCTTCCTCCAGAAGTCTCTGCTGGATGGGAAGGGCTGAAGCAGAGGGCATCAAAAGGGCTTAACCAGGAGAGCAAGTTTGGCCTCAGAGCACTGGACTGGCCGCCAGGGCTCACCCTGTGCCCTTGGTGCCCAGGGTCTAGCTTCTCCCTTTGGTAGAGCCTCCTTAGAGGTCACTTTCCCCGAGGAGCCAAGTGGCTCCTTATTGGCTCTGCAGTCCCTAGGCTTGGGGAAGGGCCCACATGCCGCTCCTGTCATACCTTTGCCACCTAATGGCTCTCCAGCCTCTTCCTGTAGACAGGGCACAGTGGGGCTCTTCCCGTTCCTCTCAGGGGCCGCCTTTTCCCACTGCAGTGGTGGCCTGGCCATCACTGGCTTGTTGCTCTTGATTCGGAGGCTGTACTGGCGGGCCAGCTGGTAGACCTTGTTCTTGACGCGCTCGCTCACGTGGCTGTCCATTACATGGGAGAGCTGCACGATGCGGGGGTGCAGTGGGACCACCAGCTCCCCCTGAGTACTGCTGCTCAGCTCCTTCACCAGCTCTTTCAGCTCCCGGGCCAGGTGGGCTGGGCTGCGCCCCTCAGTGGGAGAGGAACTTTCCGGGGAGGCAGTGGCTGACTCCTCCGTGATGGCTCCCAGCTCATGCTCCTCCAGGATGAAGAGTGGCTCATGCAGGTCAAAGCCATTGGCCTGGCCCTGGCCGGGCCCCTTCCCAGGGCTCCCCCCAGAAGACTCCATTCCCTCCCAGATCTTCACAATTTCTGATGATGGGCGGAACTCAGCATCTGAGATGGGAGGTGGGTCCCCTTTGCCTGCCTGGCTTGGTCCTGGGAGCTCAAACAGGGCCCACGATGTCGGCCGGGAGCCCACCTGTCTCTTGCGCCCCACTGGAGGTACTGGCTCTGGGTCTGGCCGAGGAAGGCTGTTGAATCTGGAGATGGAGTTTCTTACCAGTCCTTTGGGGATATAGGAGAGGCTCTCCCGGCGACGGACACTGAAGCCCGCATCATGGTGTTCTGCATTTTCATAATAGCTCTTAATCTTGTCTAGCAACAACCGGTCTCGGGTGGAGAGCGCTGATTCCTTCTTCTTGCAGGAAGACCAGTCGGGTTCCACTGGGCAGCCTGGGCTTGGGGACTCCATCCCATTGACAGAAGGGCTGTCCTCTGTGGCCCCTCCAACACTGATGTCCACTTCTGGGGAGAGCTGACAGCTGAGGGAGTCTGTGGCACTGCCACGCCGCGCCAGGCCCTTCTCACTGCCCTCCAGGCTGAGCACGCTGCTGCTCCGGCTGACCAGCCGTGGGCTCCCAAAGCCACTGGACTTGCCGTCCTCCTGTGCCACGCTGCTCCGCCGAGAGAAGCTGCTGACAAACCGCTCCGCAATGACACTGGCCTGGTCCAGCACGGAGGGTGGCAGAAGGCTTTCAGGCTCCTG